AGATATTTGCAAAACTCCGGACCACAGGTGTATGCAGTGGGGAACGAACACGCGCTGTTGTCCTTACCGGGGAGCAGCGCACTTCACCACTACACCATCCGGGTCGGTGTAGTGGTGAAGTGCGCTGCTCCCCGGTAAGGACAACAGCGCGTGTTCGTTCCCCACTGCATACACCTGTGGTCCGGAGTTTTGCAAATATCTCAGCACTTCATACGAGACCTTGTGTACTTACAATACGTCAGAACTTAAAATTAAACTGATAATTCGGTTGCTACCTGGTCAATATATAAATTTTGGAGGCAATTTAGAATCGTATGAAGTTCGAGTATCCGTAAGAATAGACAGAGTCAAACGATTTCATAATCGCCACCAAAAATGATATAATAGAAATGATAAACACGATTTAAACATAACCGAAAAACTGCAAGGACGTCTCAGAGATGAATCCAGTAATAGTTGAATTCATCTCTATTTCTGCTAAACCTCCTCAATGAGGAAAAACAGCACACAGGAATTAAAACTCCACAAAAAGCTAAATGCAGCACTCACAAACATAATATGAATAGCACCAATAACCGTCGTAGTCCAAGCAAACCCGATCTTCTCAACCATGAACCCACCAACAGTAGGACCCATAAATCCACTGTAAAACCAAAAAACAATAAAAACCGTTGAAAAATTCAGAAAACACCGCAATATCCCAGTACAATTGTGCTAAATTTTCGAAAAACCATACCCTAAAGCAAATGCTGATTGGAAAACACCTGACACACAACCGTACGTGCGGAATGAGTCGTCATAACCGTGATCTCTGCAACGAAAATATACAATAAAATACTAAAAGATAAGAAACAATAATACTAGTAGATATTAAGAATAACGTCTAACGTAAGCAATTCAAAAGAAAAACAAATGTTCATTACAAAAATAAAACTTCTAAAAGCTAAAACTTCGCTTCAGATCAAATAAGTCGAAACCAACTCACTTAACGGCGTCCAGACAAGTTTGGAAAGTGGGAATATAAAGGGCGCCAGCGGCAACACCAAGAACAGCTAATGATATTCCAATCAACACAAGATTCCTAGAATAGAAAGCTCCATCATGGAATACAGCTAGGAAAGTGTTCAAGTCGTAAGCAGTTCGTTCTTCTAAAGAATTGTATACAAACGAAAATAATAACGACATTTTCCACTAGTCATACACGAAGCTTCGAAACAAAACCAATAATTTAAGAAACATACATGCTCAAAACACCTCATTAGAAAATATAAAAATTCTACAGGTTTTTCAAACGTCAGCATAAAACTGAAAACTCACGTTCTCATGCCATCCTTCTACTAGTGAATTACTGTCTTAGAGTGACAGAAGTTATTCCTACCCTGGTAACAAAACAGTCACAGAAGGCAAGGTAAACAGTGATGACAGATGGTAGGCCTAGTACATGTTTCTCGAAACTACGGAAAGAAATATTACCCAGTCAGCAAATCACCAGTGAATTGAAATTTGTTCTGGCGTTCAAATGATTCTTCGGCATTCGTGTCAGACGAGCCGTCCAAGTGTTTATCAAATATCAAATATATCATAGTTAACTTAAAACGAGAATGTCTTACTTGCTCAGCGGTAAAAACGGGGAAGGCCCAATCATTGCCATTGAGATGACTGTGGCAGATGATCCAAAAACCATGACAGCAGTTGTACAATGATATTTATCGATAAGAAAGCCCCATAATGGAGCCGTTAACGTATAAATGCCACCGCATAGCAGAAACATTAAGCCGATCATGGTTGGTGTGAGATTGAACTGAAAAAACATATTATCTATCAATGAGAATTGTCGTCTTTTATGTAATTATAATAAAAAACACTAATAATCTCTTTATAAATGGTTTCACAAGGTTCAAATAAACTGAAAAATGCTCTAAAATAGACAGCCATAAACTTTTAATTGCGCATATAATCAAAATTTCAATGAAGGGCTTCGTTACGAGGTCCTCTCCAATCACTGAAACCTTTTAAATAAATGCACCTTCTAAACAGAATGAAGATTTAACGTAAAACTAAACTGGAACGGTGGATAGAGAAATGTTTAAATAGGAAGGGAAATTCCAAAGCAATTGAAACCCGGGTTTTCACCGTTCCCTTCGGAAAACCATATTCCTCATGAACACCCTATATGTGGCACGTCTAAAGTTTCATAGCCAAACGACATTGCGCCACATCGAGATATTTCTTCAGCCGTCTCCAAATTATCTCACCTTTAAAAACGTTCACGAATTGTTTCCACTATCAATCCAACTTTCCTCCCAACGGTTTACCACCTCATCGTGGCTAGGTGTTCTTGGGTGTCGGACTGCAACGTAGAGGGGGGTTTCATCCTCCCAGCAGCATCTCCCAGGTTACTAAGGAGTCCGGCGTTTCCATCAGGAAGCCCAGCTAAGAGGAAACCAATACCAGAAACTACCACCGTCCTGGTAAATTCCCTTCTGATCCACAAGAGCGGCGACTGCCTGTGGTGATGACAATCTTGGGCAGACCTTTGCCTAGTAAACCTCGGCACCCCAGGGAATCATAATGGTTAAACCAGCAAAACTCCGAAAACATGGATATTATGCTGGGGATCCAAGTTAAAAACTTCCAGAAATCCGTCTTTCTAGCTAACATTTCGAAATAATGAAAAAAAAAGGATTCAGTGATGCTATCGGAAACTGTGTGCGTTGTCACCTCTCATCACTAAAGGAGACCATCAATGATTTCTGAGCCATTATTTTACAAACAAGTGTTGTTCCCACTACTAATCCAATCATTGTTACTGAGTGAAAATTCTCTAGAACAGAATACACTCCTTATTATCGCTTCTGTACGGATAGAACACAGAAAAAGACTCAATCATACAAAGGATGAATGCAAATAAATGCAAAATATATAGTACTAACTATAACAATACCATCGACTACCGTACCGATTGAAGATGTGCTGAGAGTGTAGGATCCAGGAACGAGAGTGATATCGCACACACCACAATAGCATAGACCATTATCCAAATGACAGGAATTCGAAGCATCGCTATCATTCCTTTCGATGTACCAATGTTATCTAGATTGGTTCATAAAACATGCCATGTCAGCAGAAAATACTTAACTGAGACCTTAAGAGAACTACCACGAATTAGTTTGGGTTTTACTCTCATCATGGTCCTAACCAGACCAGAAGCGAGCAAATCTGTTTCTCGACTCCAGAAATTTCACTGAACAATTGGGTGACCGGATAATCTATTCAGTCGTTAGGCGACATCTCGGTAATTTTTCTTCTCTTTTCATCCACATAGAGAACGGATAGATGAAGGCTCGATAGATAGCAAGCATAAAAAGGTCATGGACCGTGAACCACCGGAACAACAAAGATTAGAAAGATTTTTACTTTGCGTGAAGAATATCTTCTTAGGAAAACAACTGTAGATTTTTCAACTTCATCTTGTGAATCGACTCCCATTCGTCGTCCTAGCTTCGAAGTCTCATTATTCGTTTCTTCTTCTCCATAAAATCTCCGTAGCGTTTAGTTTTGCTTTCGATTCAATTTGACATTGTTCACGTTCTTTGGTTGCAAGTTCAAGAAATTGTCGCCGTTCCTCATCTGATTAAGATTGCCATTACGCAGCTAGCGCAACATTTATCGTTTTTTCGTCACAACCCTGTTTAACTGAACCGTATTTCGATCGGCGAGAACTTAACAAATGCACATTGCAAATTGTAGACTTTAAAATATAATTCCAGCAGAAGGTTTCCGCCTAGTTTTGCTAGATCTTTTGAAACAATGTCCTTCACAATGAACTCCTGATTTACTAACACTGTTCCTAACTAAACTGTAAAATGCATCTCACATTCGACCACTTTGGTCTATACTACGATATGACGTACTTAATCCTGAATGAAGACGAACTAAAGAAAAAAGCAAATCTGCTACTTAAAAATTGATGAAAGCGGTTGCGGGAGCAACATACAGCAGATGATTCGCTATTTTTTTCTGCCTTTCAATAATTCCTAGGCACTTTTTTATTACTTTATTTTATAGAGCCCATCTTCACGCCTACTGTGCGACTCCCAGCATTTCTTACATTCGGTTCGTTTCCTTGCATTCATCATCCACGAAGATCTTCCAACTTTCTCGTACGGTTTCTGCTTCTGCTTGAGTATTTTCATTTCATCTTGAATGTCGTAAAATGCTGGTCAAGCAATTCTCCCGGGAATCCTGAAATAGCCGGGCTGGGACGTTCCTCAATCGATTTCAGAGAGCGATTTTTTTCCTAGACAAGTCCGGCACCAATTTACCGACTCCAGACGGAAGAGCGGCATGGCTGGCCCATAGCGGAATCGAACTAGCACTACGCTCGTGATGACGGACATCACTAGCACTGTGCTACCTGCCTCTAAAGCATTTTTACTCAAAATATTACTCTATAACTTTACCGTCTTTAAAATTTCCTATAAGCCACCAGCCAAGTGCTGTCGCTAAAATTAAAATTGCGCCGAGAACGAGAAATGGAACTTGAAATCCTCCGAATTCGTAAAGAAATCCTCCAATAAGTGGACCAGCAGTATACCCCAGTCCGGCAAATGTTTCCATAACACCCTATAAAGTCACGAATGAGTGACATCTGTTAAATCTGCATAAAAAATAGATTATGAAAAAGTTTTCATTTACCACAACGACAGCTATATTTCCAGGAAAGCATTTTGCCGATATTGCAAAACTTGATGTTACAAAAGCAGCATCACCTATAGCTTCCAGTATTCGTATGAGAAGGCTAGCTAGGAAGAAAATACTACCCGATGGCAGGTAATTCAAGAACCTAAACAGGAAAAGTAATAGTCGACGTGAATTTGCTAAGCTACAGCGAAAGATAGAGAAAAATAACCTAAGGTGAGATATCGAACTAACCATATTGTATGTGTTGCAGTGCACACCTAACTACTGCGTTAACCGACCCCCTTTATGTAGTCGTAAGAAACTGTGGTAGAAAATGAGTTAAAAGATGTAAAGCACTCTTACCCGAATAAAATTGCCGTTAACCCCGTGATGGCGAGACCCAATGTGAACATATTCCTAGAACCGATAACAGTCATCTGAAAATTTAGATCATTTGTTAGAAAAAAAGAAAATTCAGGAACTGTTCTACTCATATTTATAACTTTCTGCATTCTTTGTGTATAAATATCGTAGTAGTTGGTAACACCAAGGTAGTACCACCCAGGATGAAAGAGAGCGCTTCAACAAAGCGAAAGACTTAAATATACGAATAGGAAAGGCGGAAAGGACCACCGACACGGAGAACCACTACTTCCTCATCCGCAAACGTCAAACTCATCGTGGTGCTGCTCATCCCATTGAGTGCCATGCCACCGAATCACAAAAAGTTAAGAACAAGAAGATATCTGTAGGCTCAACGAAGAATCGAGACTACCTATCACTACTGGAGGAATACTTCACCAAGAACACCTCATCTTCCCTTCCATCCACTTCTTCTTTACTTATGAAGACAGGTTACACTCTAAAGTACACAACTCGTTTAGTACTTTCCGGAAGAAGATGATCTCTACCAGGAATATTACTACACGATACTGTCAGGGTATAGCTAGAAGCATTAAGCTTTCTAAAAACATTTGGGTGCAGTTTTCTGATAGACAAAATACCATAATATCGGAATTTGAAAGAAAAAAAAGCGAATAACAATCCACTAGGTACGGAAGAAACTTTAGGTGGAAATAAAAAGGGCATTTGCCACATAGAATCTTTTCAGACTTCTTACCACGTAACCTCTTAGGAAAACAACAATATTAGCAAACATAAACTGGTAATGCTCAAGATAACTTAATTCATTATACTAAAATGAAATTAACTGTAGCAAATAGAAGCCATGTTTAAAGGGTTCTCAATGAACGAAGATGACCAACTCCATGATTGAAGAGGCCGCAAAACCAAGAATGACTTCCATACTTTCAATGGCAAACTTCCACTTCAAATTGTGATCAGTCTCATTTTAACGATTTTCATGCTTGGACTCATTTTAACGAAGATGACAACAACTCCGTTAATGCCGCACGACTGAAACGCCATTCCTCAAATGCAAATGACAAACAATGTACTCTTATATTGGTCAGTCTAACGACAATGTAACTTGATCTCCTTAGTTCCCACCAATAAACATTAAAGAGAAGCTTCCACGAAAATCATATGTGCATTGCAAATACACATCGTCATTATAATCCTCGATTTTAGAAGTTTGTTATTATTAACCTGAGATTTCCCATCCACTTCGTACGCGTCGTTTTCAATACTGGTGTTAACGGCATTCCCTTGCAGTGAGGTGAATCCCTTTGTTTTCACTTCTTTTGCCGAGAGGATATCCACGTAATACAGCTTTCAAACTCTGCCGTGAGGTCTGAGTATACTTACAGATAACTTGCCACTCAAATTGTCATCCATGCAAAAATACCCACACAGTCAAACACCCATATACACGCCAGCATGCAAATAATACATCATACAACCTCTAATAGTACGACACAAACTGACGTTCGCTATATCGGTCGCATTTCAATGTTTCAACTATTATAGAATATTAAATTAGCCATTAAGGAAAAATAAAAAGAGATAAAACATTAAACATACGTATTTCCCGAAGATTGGTGCCATGACGAACATTACCAGCTCAAATACTCCAAAAACGATTCCAGTTTGGGACTCAGTCATGCCTTTTTTCTTTGCCTGAAAATATCACGGAGAGATTTTTTGTTAGTATCAAACAATAAATGAATACACAAATAAAATATGTAGAAAATCTTCTACTCCGAAAAAATTGTGGTTTATAAATGATCAACCAAACCTCCATTTTTCGTCCTATACACAAACTATTAGTATTTCCATAACGATACTGAGATATTTGCAACTCTGAATAGCTGGAGTGCGCGGTAGAGATCGAACACGCCATTACCCTTTCTGGGAGCTAACGTGTTCACCACCATGCGAGTATTTTGATTCGTTTTTTTCTCAGCCGTTGCTATACTTCCAGCAAAAGAATGAGCACAATGGAACAGACTGTAGCCAGCGCCTTTGTAGAAAATGGTGGAATAACTTGTTTTAATCGAGTTCAGGATGCAGAAAAAAACCTCGTCAGGATAGAAAGGAGCGATACAGCTAAATGCAACTGTCGAACAAAGATTGGCAAGAGCTAACATCACCATCGTAATCCACTCCTTAGACGATAAAGACGAGAACGAACCCTAAAAACTGAAAATCCTCTCTGCTTTCACAATTCCATCCTAGCGATTGACATGATTTAAAAAAAAAGAAAACTAATTGGTAAAAGACCTAAAAATACTAGCCAATTTATAACGAAGTACTCGATTTTGCAGGATGAAAATGACTCCTCGTCAATATAACTTTATAATAGTGAATACTTTCTACATTATTTTAAAACATACATTTCGATTTAACGCCATTCGTGGCCAATGGTAGCTTTTAGAGAAACGATTACAGATCAAACAAAACAATTATTTTAAATAGGAATCCAAAGTTGCACACAACATCGCAGAACTCTCTCGCAATATCAAAGTTACTTTTAGCTAATGGAGTGTTAACAGTCGTACGATACATTGTTGTTCTCAATTCGCTTCGTGATGGAGATGACAGTCTTGAAGACGACGACGGTCGGTGAGACCATCTGCCATCGATGGTGACCATTTGAAGGCGCTTTTTGAAGCACTTCCATGAAAAATGGCCCGAAACGGTGCGTACGAACAAGGCGCAAATATTTGAAACAAGAGAAAATACCTAAACAAAATTAAAAAGCCAAGAAACAAAACTCCACGAAAAGGCGCCGCATGAGGAGAAATAGGAGAAAGAACAACAAAGAATCGCCACTATGAAATACGTTCTGCGCTTCCTTTATGTGACGAAAAACCTGTTTCTTCATGGCACTGTGATGTGTGACGACAATGAATTCTGAATGACAGCCGACGACGTCCCGCATACGGGTGGACAAACACGAGGCATCAAAACACAGTCCGAGGTCGGCCACGCGCCAGAAGAATGTTATGATAAGTTCTTCGTGCTCAGCAGACAATACCTCCTCTACTAATTTTTTAATCGAGGTGAAATTATTACGGCAAAGATGCAAGCCAGAAAAACCAAGAGAAACCACTACGAAATGGAGCGTTTACGACAGGTTCTGGTAAACCAAAGAGACCAATTCAGCTGTACGACACAGTGCATGATACTTATGCTTGCAAGTGGTGGAGTTTTCCACTCGGCTTTAGTGACTTGTTCGTCATAAAGATCTACTGAACTTCATACGCTAGAAACAGGACACCACTTTAGTGGAAAAAAAACGCTTTCACAAATTTACTAGATAGTTGGAAATCCGATTTATCAAGTCGACATAATTACAGGGATTACAACATATAACAACAATGGATTAACTACAACGGCTCTTACTTCAACACATAAAGTTGGATCTTCTAAAGTTAGAGGACTTCGAAATTCTCGTAAAAAAATCAAAAATGTCGCAGAGAATAACCCTAAAATAAACTTTAATATCACTTTATGACATGATTCAATAAAGAGACATGGTTTCAAAAGGAACAAAAACGGATACTAGATGGCATCACCTAAGCTACTAAACTGTTCCGATGACGCAACTCGACTGTTTGACATTCGAAGAAGGAAGCCATAACAAGAAGGCATTTTACAAACCACTATTAAACTGAATTAATGAATTTCACCGCTTAAAATGGATTCTCAAAAAGAAATTCTTATTGAGAAACAGAAATCAGAGGTTTTCATTAGATTGGTGTTAACTCAAGCGCTATAGTTCATATGGATAGCATCTTTCAACGATTTGCCGTCATCTATAACTTAGTTGCTTTCTTGGTAATCAATAACGAATGAACTATTTGGTAATCTTGGCTAATAGGGAACCTTTATCAACACAATTTCATAAATATAGGCTACGGCATCAACTACTCTCCATTGTAGTTAGCGACCTACCATCAATTACCAATCGACTGCGATCATGAAAACAAAAAACCTCTTTGAATGTTCAATGGATCACTTCAGGTTGTCTTTTTTCGTTTGAAAACTAATATGAATTAATATCTACCACTATTAAGTGAACATGATGTTACCTTGGTCGGAATCTGGGAGTCATCCTCGTCGGACGTAGAATCTCTGCAAGGTTCACAATAAATTTAGAGTTAGATATGAAAAAAAAAACAAAAAAAATACAGTTTTCCTTTAAAAGACACATTAGCTAATCGATATTACAGCTTATCACCTAAACAAAGAAGTCACATCTAAAGAAAAACCTCTCAAAATTTTATGGACAACATTTCCCAGAAAGATAAGGAACAGTAATCGGAAAGAAATTTCGAGATTCTGCCCATTATCGATCGCATAATAATGAAAGACGAAACAATAAGAAAAACTTTCTTCTGTTCAGCAAACACGAGGTGATATTTTATTTCTTTATTTACGTACAAGCTGACGTTCCGGCGGATTTCGCCTTCCTCATAGCCGCTTTCTATGGGTCGTCCACTATGTCGCGTGAAGACCAACCGCACAGAATTCACATAGAAGCATGATGGGCAGTGTGATGAACCTCGCACAAGAATCGAGAACACAAGCGCGCAAAACTCTCGAGGCGTTTTGGATTAATTCCAGAAATCCGAAAATGAACGGCAGGGAAGAATGCCTCATTATCACGCGTGATATTGGACAGCATATAAGACTGTTATTCTGATAGGAGGGGCACATTACGCTTTTACGCTTCTATGTGAATTCTGTGCGGTTGGTCTTCACGCGTCATAGTGGAAGACCCATAGAAAGCGGCTCTGAGAAAGGTGAAATCTGCCGAAACGTCAGCTTGTACGTAAATAAAGAAATAAAATAGTACCTCGTGTTTGCTGAACAGAAATAGAAAGAATTATTTAACCAATGCCAAGGTTAATAGAAAGTCGGACTTGGGAATAAGAAAATCAATACAAAAAACAAAAATGAAAAAAGGAAACGAAAAACACTGAAAGCAACTGAGCAAGAAAAATCATCGATTTTCTCAGTTTCGTCTTGTACCTACTTGGATACTTCGACGGTCCGTTTTCACGAGCTGTGAGGACCCCAGCACATATGCCATTCGTTCCTTTCTCTTTCAATCGTAGTTCATGGTGGTGGTTTTGTTCGAGCATGGTAGCGCTTGCGAGTCTCGTACCGTGATTTGCAAAACAACTGCAGCTGTGGGTACATTTGATTAATTCTGTTAACGAACACGTCCGCCCAACGTGTAGGTGGTCGCCAAGGAGACGTTTGCATTCTCTTGGAGTCCACTCTACTGTTCTTTTCGTCCATCTGTCGTCGGCTCTTCTCATTATGTGACCGGCCCATCTATGTTTCGCTGTCGATGTATATTCTCCTGGAACTCGAAGATGTGACAGATTTCGAAGGTCAGAGCTTCGAATTCTGGCTACCTATTGAGAGTGCTGGTTATATTTCAGAAGACTTCGCTTAAGCGCTCTGTGAGTAGTTAGAAGCATTCTTGACGTAGTTGAAGTATCAACCTACGTCTCTGCAGTTAATAGAGCGCTGGAGGACCGTAGAATCAAAGAGATGAGCGCGGATTTTCGGATCTTTCAGTTGGTTGGTGGCTTCTTTGAGAGGCCCGAATGCGGCCTAAGCTGCTCTTCTTCTTCTGTCTAGTCACTCTTTCATGTTGTTTTCCATGTTCATTGATCGCCCAAGGTAAACGTACGAGGTGGTCGTTGCAATGAGAGAGCCATCCAATTCAAATTTTTCGCATTCGCACCATGGGTTTTTCATGAACAGGGTCTTCTTCCGATTTACGCGTAGTCCGATCTTTTCCCCACTCGTTGAGCTCGTTGATCATGATCCTGACCTTTGCTTCGCTAGTACTTCTTGAGATGGCAATGTCGTCGGCAAAACGAAGGTTTGGTAGGAATTTTCCATCAATACGTATGTCCTTTCATCCCAATCGAGTGACTTCGTTATCCACTGCAGTACGGCGCTGAACAGCTTTGGCGATATTGCTTCGCCTTGTCGAACCCCTTTCCCATGGGTATTGTAAGAGATCGATGGAAAGCTGTGTTTTCGTAGTGCACTTCCGATAACAGTCGGACAATTTTCTATGCAGGACGGCTCCATTCCATTGTCGACGATCGCTGATAGGATTGCATTCGTTACGACACTGTCAAAAGCTTTCTCATAGTCGACAAAGGTTAGGACTAGAGGCTAGTGGTATTCCCGACAAACTTCGGTGACCCTGGACACGGTTTGGAAGTGGTCGATACAGCAAAATCCTCTTCGAAATCCTGCTTGCTCGACTGGTTGAGCCTCATCCAATGTCCTTGATATGTGCCAGAGGATAATCTTCGTGAAGAGCTTGTAGAGTACACTCAACAAGCATATAGGACGATAGTTACGATGATCCCTTCGGTTTCCTTTCCTGGGCAGTAACATTATCGGGTCTTGTAGCTGTGCCTCTTTTCATGCTTTCTATAACAACTCGAACCTCCTACGAAAGAATTCCAGGTGGTTTATCTCCAACGGAGATATTAGAGCCCGGGACGGAGACTGTGGAACGGAAAAGGTTGGTGTAGAACGTTTCCGCTATTAATTCCATATTGTGGCGAGAAGTTTTGACGATCCCATCTTCGTTCATCAGGGCTGACAGCGGAGCATTATAATCACACAAGACCCGACGGCATTTTTTCAGCTGCTTCTTCTCTCTGTTGCTCCCAGCATCTTCTTTTGCAGCTGGCATTTATTACTAGCTATGTTAAACGTGTTGCAGTAGGATCAATCTTCAGTTTCCTTCTCTTTTCGGGGAACTCCTTAGTAGCGATGGAGGTGCGATCCGATCTTCTTGCTTAAGAACTAAAGAGAATACGGCACAGCTTTTCAGTCCCTCGACAAGCAGCTCGTAGTCTTCGGTCGGGTCTTCTTTAATCTTTATACAGCTAGACTTTTTCCTCGTGGTCGATGAAGAGAGTTCTTTTCCAGCTTGCGGCTGAATCGAATCTTCGCGCGAAGAAGGCGGTGATCGGAACCAGTACAAAATGACGGGATTACCGATGTGTCAAGTAGGCATCATCTTCTGTTTGTCAGAATATGGTCGATCTCCGCATGAGTCATGCCGTTGGGAGACTCCCATGTACATCGCCGGCTCTCTTTCTTCTGGAAAAACAAGTTCCCATGGAAGAAACGTGCTGCTGACAGTAGTCCTGCGAGACGGCTCCCATTCTCATTTCTTTCCCCTAATCCAAAATTTCCGATCCTGTATTCGCTCTTGTTGGCCTTTCCTGTTCTGGCGTTGAGGTCTCCAACAACAAATTTATGATATGTTCTATCATTGCGGATGACTTCCTCCAACTGGTAGTAGAACGCATTTAATTCGTAGCCATCAGCTGCGTCGGTCGGTGAGTAGCAGATGATGATAGTGATCTTCTCATGATGCGATAGCTGAAGACGGAGTACAGCTATGCGAGGGGAAAGGATCCCGTATGAGTCGACGAAATGGACAATGGACGGGTGTACGACAAAGCCTACGCCACTGACATTTCGTGACGGGACCTTTTCTCCACGGATCACAAAGGTCTCGTTGTTTACTCGGCGTATGTTGGTTTTCTTGATTTTTGTTTCTTGTAATGCGATCACATAAAATTTAATGCGATCTGTGACAACAAGAAGGGTCTGAAGATCGGTGTCTGCGGAGTGTTTTGGCATTATAGTGCATAGTAAGAAACAACCTCCGTGGCTTGTGGACAGGAGCAAGCAGTGTGCGTTGTACTGACGCTGACCTATTGCTGGTCGTGCAACTTGCCCCTTCCTGCAGTTCTGACGTAACCTTGCAAGGCGTATCCAGGTCTTCACCATAATGTGGATCAGAGGGAGGTGTGTTTTCGGCGACGAATCCTTCGCTCGGTCTTCCTACTAGTTGATTCGCAGAAATGTTAAAACCGAATCAGAAACGAAAGTAGGAATGTAAAAGTTACCGATTGCTCAAGGACGATGTACAAGTCGAATGATCGTTTCGTCTTGTACTATCATAAATTAATAGATGCTAGCAGAAAATTTCTCAGAACGAACTTCTAGTAAAACATAAAAACATTTTGATTGAATGTAAATAAAATATACCTTATAACTCTAAATAAAGTGATATGGCGCCAAAGAAAATACTTACTGCAAAGGAAAACTAAAAACTCCTGACATATGGAACATATGAAACGATTAATAAATTTTTGATTTTCAACTATGATCGATTCTCACTTGCTGGCGAAGAATTTTCTTACACAACCATATCGTATCAAGATACTTTTCAACACTTCCGCATTTAACAGGAAGAGGGAAATGACGTTGGTGAGACCTATGAAATGATGAAATGAGCTCGATTGTAATATCAAAGTTAAGTTTTTTTTTCAGACCTTTGTTTTCCTTAAGCTAAAAATAAGAACAAAACCTATGAGCTTATACGCATACAGCTCTAAACTAAGTGATTACTTAAAAAATAAAATTACACAAGTATTCGAACCAGTATGAGAGAAAAAATCTAATAATAAAATAATGATAATAGTAATAATAATAATGACGACAGTGGACTAACAGCAAAAGGGTGGCACGAAATATTTACTAAACACAAAAGTAATCCACTTATAAGTAGCATATAAAGCTTTCGATGGACTCCTTGCAATTTGACTTCTCCCTTTTCTATATGATTTCGCTTCCTTAGTCCATATCTCTAATAATTTTTTTCCAATCTTCTGAACAGAGACTTCAAAGACATTCATTTTTATAAAATAATATATAGCACTTACACCATAATAGGTCTATGAGTTGCACCATTGATTACATTTCATGTGTCAACTATTATCTATTGAATATTGTCGTAAAATGAAAAAAAAGAAGACCATAATGTTTTAAAAAAATGTAGCCCATCACTGTGATTACATTTAGTGACGATCAAATACTAAAGTGCGAAATTCTTATTTAGTCACATGAAGTATAAAAGAACATGGACAATGAAAATATTCTATAATCTCACAGATCTGAGAGTTCGCCGACGTTAATCTTAATTATGGTGTGAACTTGATGGGTGAAGCGCAGCGGTGAGAGGCGGCTTGCAACACAAGTGGTCATTAGTTTTATCTCATGCACCTCAACCCAAGCTTTCATTCATCCCTCCTGAGCGCTAAATTAGTACCACACTGGTCTGAGTGGATAAAAACATTGACGTGATGCATATCGTTAAGACATAGAAGTCAATGCATAGGCCAAATATACATTCAACCTCTCCGATGCCTAGCCAAGCCAAACACAACGCTCATCATTAACCAATAACAATTAGTGGCAGTTTTTTTGAAAACTTCCGGATAAGTAAAGTACCTAATAACTTGGTAGACATATTATAAAAAACCCTTCACTTTATCATTTTAGGCACACCAATGAGTCGTTCTGATATCTTCCCTCGACTTCAACCCTACTCAAAGTTCAAATTCACGAAAAAATAGACAGGGAACTCTTTATTTATAAAACTATTAATGCGAGCGCGACTGTCGCAAATATCAAGGCGCATTAAGGGGACCGTTTCTTCTTGTCCTACGGAATACTGACTATTCAATGGCTTCGGTTCCCCTAACAGGAGGATGAGAATTGCAATCTTAACCCTTTTATTTACTGGCTTTTTCTTCTTAATGGCAGGGTATGTTGCGAAATATAACTCGTATGAAATGCTGAGGTATTTGCGAAACTCCGAACCGCAGGTGTATGCAGTGGGGAACGAACACGCTATTGTCCTTACCGGGGAGCAGCGCACTTTACCACTACACCATCCAGGTCACACCGGATCGTGGTGATGGTGTAGTGGTGGTGGGTGTAGTGACCCGAATGGTGTAGTGGTGAAGTGCGCTGCTCCCCGGTAAGGACAATAGCGTGTTCGTTCCCCACTGCATACACCTGCGGTCCGGAGTTTTGCAAATACCTCAGCATTTCAGATGAGAATTGCTTTCGTATTTTCCATTAAGTCAGGATTTTGAAATCCGTATAGTTCAACGCAATTTATTTCAGTTAATGAAGTTCACTACAGCTGATGCATGCTTATTCAAAGTTGAAAGGTACAACTATTCTCAATCACGGGAGATTGTTGCAAACAATGCATTGAGCTGAGAAAGTGATCAACATCGAACACTTTACTACTCCTTTCCATTGGTTTCGTTTCTACCCGAATTGCTGAAATAACCCAAACCACTCTAAACCACTCAATAAAATATTCAGAAAGCGCAGTACGTTGCTATATTCCACTTCCAACGATCTCTTTTCTGTATAACAAGAACCATTCCCCAAGGATTTAGAACACTCCTAACCCTTAGGATCTACATTCACTAAATATGCATAATTAATTAGTCACCAAGTAATTTCTAGACCAGAATGTCGACATTTTACAAAGATGCTATTATCAGTGTGCCATTTCGCTAGTAGTATTGAGCGCTTCTTTCAACAATGTCGTGTGAAAACTCGAATGGAAAACAAGGAAGTAAGGTTTGACGAGTAACTGCTACAGCAACTTTCCCTCGCTGATAATATCATTCTCACAGTGACAAACATTAAAGAAGTGGAACCAATGTTGGCCGGCTTTAACGATATGTGGAAAAGTCGGTATATGGGTGAAAGTAAAAAAAGATGAGAAACAGATTTGTTATGGATAGTTTATTCACTAAAACAAACTTTTGAAAATGTTCCTGCTGACTAACCGTTTAGGGAGACTGATATCAAGACAAGTTCAATTCAAAGCGCGGAAAAGGAAAGCCTCGAAATTTGCGAATGTAAGGCTAAAAGAATAAGGTTCTTGGCATTAAGCATTGTTTGGAAGTGATTTATTGCACATCTAGCCTTTACAATGACTCTCGGTGGCCTACCGATGTACCGAGCCAGTGCTCCTATCCTCCCAGACAAGTCTGGTACCAATTTGCCGACTCCAGAGGGATGGAAAGCTTAGTGGGCCAGGGGAGCGGAGGTCTACCCCATGTGCATTGCAGGGCGCATTCGACCACTGCGCCATAGGCGCTCTTTACGAATGCATCGATACCATAATGAAAAGTGTAGATTGAAAGTGAACATCTGGTTTTGCTCTATCTTTTCGAATCCACACTCCTTCTTTGCTTAAAATGGCCCATGAAAAATAGAAAGCTATGTAAACAATATGAAAGTAGGGATTCTGGATTATCTCACCAAAACAAGGATCTCAGAGAGTACCATGTCCCACTTCACGCAATTGAGAATGTGAAATTGGAGTTCCAAACTACATGGAGTAACGACGATCAAGATGGTTGGCTATGCTCACTAAAATTTTGAGAATCATGAGAACGATCACAACACGGGCTTGTACTCTTCTTGGAGAAGAACGGAATTAAATTATATTCTAATAAAACGACAAGCGCACACAAAAAAAACAGCCTCGTGGTCAAACTTCTTCAAGAGGACTGTGGATGAAAAATATGATTCGCTCCATGTCTCCTATCAGTGTGGAATTCTTTTGAAACTTCAATAAGTAACACCTTTGAACGAAAACTGTATGCCGGTAACAACAGCACGACTTTACAATTTAACAAACATTGGAAGAAAGTTAAGCTGTGAATTAGAGAATTACTCCAATGCTCAGGGAGCCGTCTTCACACTCTTCACACACTGTGTGAACTGCATGCGGATTTCTTCGCAATCTGAGGATCTGCCCTCTTCTTAGCTCACTTAATTTACCTCTCATTTTGAATAATGACAGCGTATTTTCTGTAGGGTCTTAAGATAGTTGTGCAACAGCATTCGCAGGCCTTAACCATAGGTTACCAACACGCTATGTAGATCGGGCGGAGTTTTGATGCGTTGAGGCTTGGATTCCGTTGAAAACGATACCTGTTCACTCAATCGGTCGATCGATCGATCGAAAGCAATGCACCTGACCAATACTTGAAAAAATGAACATGAAAGTTGTCCATGCTCCCGAAACGAGATTGAAATTATCTAATTTCGATAATACGATAATATCGGTAACGGTTATACATGTAGAATGCTGTAGTCTTCAAATAGAAACTAAGTGTTAATCGTGGTCAGTTAAAAGGTGTGAAACGCTGAAAACTGAAAAAGAATTACGAGCGAACACTCTGATAAAATTAAACGAAACGACTTCTAAAGTAATGATATTGGCTTAGGCTATGCTGTACAAGTGAATTTCCCCAACAATGACATTCCAGGAGTTTAGTGACGTAATATAATACGATTCAAATTTAGTCTATAAGTCAGTGACGTTACGCAAAGCTAGCGGTGCCGATCTGCCCCTCAGGGATGGGTTGTGCATGCAAATCCACCATGCACTGTAGAGGTGAGTGAATGAATGCACAGCCTATGAAATGGCATTCGGTAAACAAGCCATATATCAAGTCAACGATTCACACATTTCAAGACAGGTCTGATACCGATTTTCCGACCCTAGAGTGATAGCGTAGAGTGGTTGGTGCGGAAAGGATCGAACCGGTAGCTACAACGCGTGTGTTGCACAGCAAGCCTAACATCTACGCCTCTTTTGCCCCAATTCCATTGTACCAAAGCTTAACATTACGTGGCGTACAACCACAATGATGCTGAGATATTTGCAAAACTCCGGACCATAGGTGTATGCGGTGAGGAACGAAAGCGCTATACTCTTTCCGAGGGCTAAGGCGTTCACCACCACACCATGCCGGTCTTTCGCTTCGCCTGTCTCTCAGCTAGTTCCATCGAACAGTGCCATCAGCAATCACCAGTCTACGGGATTGATCTGGGGATCCGAAATCGGCACTAAACCCAGTTAAGCTAAGGCTTTAGTTGAAATAACAATGCTAACTTTTTAGCTAGCATTACGTGGTATATTTGTAGTGCCAACAAATTATGCAGGTACTCCCGCTTCATCAAGAATAAAGAATGCGCATAAATCTTCGTTTTTAACCGTTATTCAAAGGTTTTTCATTTACGAAATTTGCTTAGCGCTTTGTTCACATGACTTTGTTTAGCTTCACAAAAAGTAAACAAACGAAACGTGGGCAAAACAAGGAAATGAAGTGAAAAGAAAACCAAGGGAGACTCATTTACTTAAAGGAAAAACCAATACATTGTAAAAAAAAAAAACTCTCAAATCCGACATAAACCAGTACAAATGACACGAAACTAGCTTAATTTCTATGGTTTATACATTTCAAAAAGCTAAGCATTTGCAGGAAACGGGCGCTAATTAAATAACTTCCCGTAATGTGATCAGGGAACTTCTAAGCTATCCCATAAGAAAAAACAAAGAGGACTGAAATAGTTAGTCGTCAATTAATAAAGGCAGGAAAATAGGATTGTGGTTTTGTAATTGCACAAACAAAAACTTATCTGAGAAATATACTCACTCGTCATTCGTCGCCGGTAACCCTCGTTCATCGGCAGCCAAAAGACCTTCATCTGGTTTAGCACTACCATTGAGAACGGTGTTCTTTTTTGATGGTTTCGGTGAATTGGGAGCTCGACGTTCCAAGGGAATTGACAGTGGCGTGGCGATGGGCATAAAAGGTGATGCAATGTATGGCCTAAATTTTCGAAAATGAGATTGAAATATATAGTTAAAACCCAAGCATCCACTCTTTCACACATTCTACCACTCCATGAAACTCGCTTCACATCACATATATATATATATGTGTGTATACACATATATACATACATTCATATATGCATATGTATACATATACACGAGTATACATATACAAATGTATATATACATACACATATACATATTCACGTATACACGGAAAGAAAACAGCGGTTACCTTTCTTTGCATTCGAAATTTGTTGTTTTGAACAAGTTTTGATACTTTTGTGATATTTCTGGAAACGAATCCTGATCAATAACAACAACCTTTGCCATACATACGATTCCTCCAGACCTTGCAATGCTCAAAAATAATTGTGGTCCTGAATATGGACCATGTCATAATATTTCGAGCCCCTGAGAATAAGAACCAAGTAGGCGACTAAATAACGCATGAAAGAGTAGAAAAAATAGTAATACTAAACCAATACGTAAAATTGAATAACGTCTCATGAGCGGCGCTCAATAACCAATCTAGAACTTCAATAAAAACATTTACAATCAGAGACTTTCTATTCAACTACAAGAATAAAAAGAGATAAGAACAAATTGCAGGTCAGTAAACTCGGGAATCCAGGGAACCATAATGGCTAGACGAGCAAAACTCCGAAACAATGGAAATTATACTTGGGTCAACTTCAAAAGTCTGTGATTCCATTGATGTAAAGCACATGCTTAAGCATGAAGTGTTCGAAAGATGCACACGACATGTACGAATCCCTTCGATTAACTATTTGACATAATTGACATGTACTAGTACTTGACGCATATAAGCATGAGGACTACTACATAAAAATGCTGTACCCCATTTACAGTACAAAGGCAGTTTTTCGATTACGATTAGTCATAGTGGCACAGAATTCTAACATGATAGATAACATGGAAAGATTAGAGAAATGATTATAAAGAAAACTGTGCGAAAAACCAAAGAAGAGAGGAATTCCTAGGCGAATCATCCATAAAGAAGAATGATTCCTACATATAAATATTAGGTTGCTCGTAAATTTATGCACGTAAGTTATCAACTTCTATTCTTAAAGTGGCATATCTCAGGTCAGAATGATTAAGTGAAATAACAACCATACAAATTTATACATTTTGCCAACAAGAGAAAACCTCATGTAATCCACTTGCCCAAAACTATGAAGTTCTAGCAGCGACGAAGTGATTAAAAGTAGTTTCGATCTGGTTCCGTTTCAGAAGCATTTCTCACAGAGAGAATTGCCGAGATGGAGTGGTAGTCGTCGGTAGGCCAGAACCTCCGGTGAGTGCGGTTGATGAAGCAGAATTTCCTAGTCCAGCTCGTTCAATCTTCACAACGTCAACAATGAGAAGTGTGGTGGTTCGTTATGGAGAAGGACCAATCACTTCTCGTATGGCGTCTCGAGTTTTTTCGATTTCCAGTTCCCTTTAAAGGGTTTAAACTAGGCCAGATATCATAATGAGCTCTCAACATTCTCGAACCGTTGTTAGTGGATTTGCTTTCATCGAAGCCTTCTTCAATTCAGCATCGTAGAAGAACTTCGGCGATCACTATTATGTTTCGGGTCAGTTTCGCCACGATGTCATTTTCAAAACTAACGTTCCACTGTGCGTTCGTTAACACTTCCTTAGTGCCATACACTATTGATGCTTCCAGCCGTTTCCATTGCATTATATATTCGAGTTTGGTTCGTAAAATTAGACTTTTCAACATTTTCGTTCCGACGTATTAAATTATAACCATTAAAAAACGTCAAAAATGGTGTTATAATTCAACTACACAGAGCTAAAGTGCGTAGAATAAGCTCTGCAGTGAAATATAATAGTGCTGGGATCGAAAAAAGATACACTGCGAAAGTAGAGACCAGATGAATAAAATTACAAGTCGAGTCTTATTTTCTGAGAAATCTAACAAAAAAGTTCATATGTGGTATTACAAAGTATTTTCACCTTTGGCCCTTTTTTCTTTGAAATGGAATTATCTGTATGCTGTGCAGCTCTGAGCGCTTATTGTTGAATGGAAAGAAAATCATTCGCTCATTCACATTATCTTTCAATCATCGACGGGAAAAACACCAAGTGTAATACACTACAGCAAAAAAGGACAGCGAATAAAGAGCATCAAAGAAAGGACACGAAAGAAACGAGAAAAAGAAAGAGAATGTGACCTCAGTATGGAAGGAAAAAAGAAAAGTTTGAATAAAAGCTGACAAAAAGTAGCTACAAATAGTATAAGAAGAGCTTTATAAAAATAAGCGGACTTATTAGACGTCATCTAATTACAAGCAGCGGAAAGAAAAGACAAGAGACTGAAAACAAATAAAGTCCTGCACTCATAACTTCTGCTCAGACCACCTACTGCTTTCTCTACTAAAAGCCTTTTCAAACAGATTTCCCGAAAGCCTATAGCCCACAGTCAATCACAAAACAAAACGCCACAGATGGCTGCACTTTTATTTTCGTAAAAGTAATGTTCGAGTCGCATTTGACGAGATACGATCTCTCCATGGATGAATGGCTGCTCTAGGAGTTTCCTACTTCCTCTCTTACAATCCATCAACAGGAAATTGTCTGATGTTTGGTCATCGCGTCAACTGTCTTTTCCTTCTTCTACCTCTCACCTCTCTTTCTCTCTCTCTCTCCTTATCTCCTAAAGATTTTTCATAAACATTGAGGAAGTTTAACTAAGTTCTGGATCAAAACGTCTCATGAATTGATGATGATTCGTCATAGATTTCCGAAAAACACATCACCATTATGCCATAATCGAATGAATAACCCAACTAGTCTACACAAATCTTACTACTACACTTCCTACACGAACAGCAACATGAGCAAGAACAGAAAATAACAATAATAATAACTAGCTGAACTCGATAGAACTAGCTGAAAGATAGGCAAGACGAAGGACACGGATGGTGTGGTGGTGAAGCGCGCTGCTCCCCGGTAAGGACAACAACGCGTGTTCGTTCCCCACTGCATACACCTGCGGTCCGGAGTTTTGCAAATATCTCAGCATTTCATACGAAAAATAATAACGATAGTAGTGAGAACAATAATAAAACAGAGAAAAGAAAGAAAACGACCACAAATATTTACGTTGTAAGGACAACGACGACAATCACAATCAGAACGACGCCGAGACATTTGCACCCAAGTCCGCACCGCAGGTGTTTGCTGTGGGGAACGAACGCGTCATTATCCCTTTCAGGAGCTAACGCGTTCACCACCACATTATGCAGATCCTTCGTTTCGCCTTTCTCTCAGCTAGTTTTCTACTTACTAGTGCTATCAGCAATCAACCGTCAACCAGATTGATCTGGGGACCCCAAAGCGGTAACGAACCCAGTTAAGCTGAAGGCCTCGAAAACGAAACGAAATCACAATGTTAAGTTTTTCATCTACTGTAAATGGAAAAGTTAACATTGTGAAGATCACAATCTTGAAAACCTAACAGTTATGCACAAATTCACACAGTCATGGTCGTAAATACACACAAAACACGCGAATACGCGCAAATCATTAACAGCCTACGCTCACGGTAGTGAAGCCAAGATGAGGCAGGTTAACAAAGCGTTTTCAAAGAGAGAAATGTCGAAAAACACTTTCCAGAACTTTTCTCCTTAGTTTAAGCGGTCGACAGGGATATCGATATGTTGGAAACTAGATCCGAAGTTAGCAGATCGTAGAAAAAGAAATTAACAGTATCGTCACTGAATCTAATTCACCACCATGCACCACCAGTTTTGTCCTAAGCAGTTATTGTAGAACATCAAACGCTAGAAATTTGAGCGTAAATACAAACTGAAAAGGTATTAAAACTACCGTCCCATGTATTTTTAGCTATTTCTACACATTTAATGTTAGATAAATTCACAATTAGAGTCAATTCATCTACAATAAAGTAAGTAGGTCAAGAAAGGACCTAGTACCAAATCCTCTAAGTGTCATGTGAACCCCAGTAGATTACAAAAGAAAAAGAAATACGAAAAGAATAGCAATGGTGTACTTCGAATACCCAAGTGGAAACGTTGTAGAGTTCTGTCAACATTATAGAACATTGTCGATGTACTTCTCGAGTTCACCCAAATATATTGGTCATATAAGTAACGACTACTTGATGACTATCTTCTCTAATCAAGGAACTATGCCCGACCGCCTACCACCCATTCGACACCGCCCATAATGAACTGTCCTGACTCCGATGAGAAGCAACGATTTTTGCGATTACTGTGCCTCCAAGATCTCTCTGACAGACAGGTAGACAGAACAGTCCATATATCATATAGACACCAACATATGTAAACAAACATAAACAAACGAACACAGACATACACATATAGGTAAAGAAACAACAGTGCAACATACGACGGTTTGTCATCTATGGATGAGCCATGCATTCAACTCTGTGAAGCAGAGTAGAAGTAGTTGAACTTATATGAAGCCCTTCCAATGACTTGCGATGACGTGTCGTTGTATTAAGTCAGTGTTTTCACGCTCCAATACAAGCCTGATACCAATTTGTCTAGCCGGGAGGTAAGGAAGGAAGACCTGCTGAGTGTGAGACGGTGGATCGAACCAAAGAACGCATGCATAAAAGGGTACCTCTGAGCTATACGTACACATAAACGCATACATCCATTAGTCATGTAAACTCACAATTTTTCGCTCTGTCAGAGCGACCGACCTATCGAGGGAGTGCCCAGTATTCTTGCTGACTACTTGTCACGAATAACAACTGTCATTAAAGACAACATGAAATGCATAACAGTGAGAGAGAAAAAACAAAGAAGAAGAACAAAGATGTTATCAGTCACACAGAGACATACATATATATATATATATATATACATATGTATATATAAGTGCATAAACATATATATGTATAGTTACGAAAAATAACCATAGACAAGCAAACATACCGAATACATACATAAACACGTACACATACATCCATACATAAATCCATAAATTAATCCCACGAAACTGTACATATTATGGATTATACTAATGCAAATGTAAAGTGAAAGAGTTTAAAAATAGACGATACACGCCATAGACTGAATAGTGCTGGAAAACACGTGCAATGTCGAACAAGATTGATGTGTTACATACAATCAACTATTTCTATACATGTGTAATTCAGTAAAAACAACACAACATTGTGTATTAAAAGTAAAAAAATAAAGATAAAAAAGATGAAACCAAAACTAGCAAATTCCTTGTAAGAAACGATCCCGGAGACGGGAATTCAGATTGCGCAACATTTCATAAAACCAGGACAATGCAACGGGTCGGGCCAACACACCATCCCCCACTCACAGCCGCATACACAGACATACATACACGTATACACACACATCACGTACTTATCAACACACCCATACATGCATCCATAAATACATACAAACATATATACACAAATACACGAATGAAAACTCACTCGCTTCTCATGCATTTACGAAACATTCCCCTTCCTCTGTACTTGAAATCAACCCCAAAAAAGTAAGACAAATAGTCATTCATAGCGATGTTTACCTCATTTTTTGTGTTTCCAGTGAACGTTGAGTCACACATCTTCGACGTGGCCTCTTAGATGATTTCACTCCAACCTGTAAAACGACTATAAACAAAGAAGCATACAAAAAGTAAAACCTCTTCTATAGGAGAATATCGTTGTTGACTGCTTTAGAAAAGGAACTATGATCACGTAAGCGTCTAAGAACAAATTAAAAACTCCTGCTAAACAACCAGTGTATATAAGGTGGTGATATAAACGATAACTCTTTAAGAAAAGAGAAGAAACCTCCAAATGTAGGAAGCATTTCTAGAACAAGTTTCGTACGGAGGAAAAAGTTTAAAGACGTTCTATTAAATAAAATATAGAGCATAGTTACAAACCATTTTAAAGCAAAATTGATTTTATACCTCGGATTGAGTCGTCGATGGACCAGGAAAATCGAGTTGACCAGTTTCATAACTAGTAACAGTTGGCAATGAGCTGAACGACACAAACAATAAGCTCTAGATATATAAGCTTCTGCTTTGCTAAATCCTAGCTGCTGATGAGCATTCTTATAAATTATGTAAGAATAAGATACAAAGACTTTTCTACAGTTCTAGTACTTTCTAAGCATCCTACTAATCTCTATACAGAAGCTGATCAATCAATACAATAGCCTTCTGTCAGATGAACGAAACAATGTTGTCAATTTGTTATCAGGAAACCGTCAATCAATCAGTGGTTCGGAACTTCTTACTGTTAAATGCACTAAGCACCAGTAAAATAGATAAGTAAACCTAACTACCTTAGCAAACAGCGCTTTTCTTCCCATTTGTTAAACAAAAACTGAAAAGGTACACACCTGCACGGATTCAATAAAGGCGTCGTTTCGTCGAATACCACATCCGGTTCATCGGTAGATAATGATCGACCAGTTGATTCCATTTTCTTCCAGTCTCTTTGCTGGAAAACATTGGATCGTTCCAGAATGCAAGAAGCTGTTAGTAACATATTGAGCTAATCATTAATGGAAAGCTCGTCACTAACATTAAGTGCAGAGATCCCGAGTAGTAATGAAAATGAAAGACAACCAGTTTTAGTAGTAATTTCATTGTAAATTAATTCAACATATTCTGTAAACAGTATTCAGCCAGCTACATCACATTAAATCGTCCGATCAATCAATCATGGAAATCGATATCGCTTAAGAAGAATGCTAGTGACGAGACAGACCGGCCGGACACAGGATCTCTCTGATTAACAGAAAGGCTGAAATGGATTTGTTCGACGAATATCTCGTCACTAACATTAAGTGGTTGGATTAAAAAGGATAGAGCTCTCGGCGTTGGTCAATCCATGAGAGATGCGCCATGCATTCGATTTCATTAAGTATCGTTGAGGTGATTGAACGCTTATCTGACCTACATAATGACTCGCGGTGTCCTACCGATGTATCGAGTCAGTGCTGCCATACTTCCAGACAAGTCTGGTACCAATTTGCCGACCCCGGATGGATGGAGGGCTTGGTGAGCCACGGGCGCGGGGATCGATTCCACGCGTATGTTGAAGGGCGTCTCTGACCACTGCGCCACACGCGCCCTTCCGATTGGATTATCCCAGCACTATTCGTTTGGGCATTTCGTAGAATACGGCAAATTTAAGAGACACTGATGACATATCAGCGTCAGAATAGGTCTCCCCGATCAACAAACGACCTGCACGGATGATAGGAGAAAAATAACGAAAGAAATACCGGAAAAATAGCTGTGGGTCGGAAGAATGTGATGAGAAATCGCTACAGCATCTAAGTCATCACACTGACGAATTCTTAGACCATTTCCTCATGACATCTGGTCCAGAAAGCAAGGATCCTCCGATATTGATTGTGCATGAAAATGCCCCAGGGTACTGAAGTGAACAAGAAATCGAGCTCTACTCTATAAGAGGCTGAAGAATGACGTAAATCTTACACCAATGAGTTCATACGAAATCACGGTTGGTGGAAAACAAAGAAAAACAGTCGGATAGCACCATTAACATCGAAGTCAGTGTGCAATGAAGAAGAAACGAACATCGATTATGTGATCAAATGCGTCTACGTTCGAAAATCAGCTGTTCGTACAGTTTCGGCTCCAACCAACTTACAATACTTAAGCTACTTAATGAAGAAAAGTAATCAATACGATTGTTAGACGAGAATCTGAGACAAGTACACCGGTGATAAACAACTGTCCGATGGCTCCAAGTTACGTAAACAGTGGGCGATGATTGTTCGATGTTGATCGATCGATGATCGGGAGTGTATCAACCATGATTTGGAGCAGATCGATTTTTCTATTCGATATCTACTTCTATCGTAGTAGAAACCCCATTGTAACATATTACTTTTTGTTAGATTAAAGAAAAAGCCTACTCATTGGATACTGTAAAGAAAACGTTATCGTGAAGAGCATTTTATTGCTACATCTTTACTTTTCACTATCGGCCAAAAACCAATTCGTCCATATCAGTGTTTGAGAAGTAACCCCCGATAAATATTATCACTCATTACTGGTAATATTTTGCTAAAATGCCAAAGATATTTCAGATACAAACTCATTCATACGTAGTGATAACTTGAATAAGACCGTAATAAGCATTGTCAAGGAAATCCATAGACACCTAGCGCGCGCGGTTTTCAGCGTTCGCTGCCACTTCGGGCGGCTTATAGCACTCAAGGACTTGCTGAATTTTTAACATAGTTAGAAGACTTGGAGAATTATAAACATGATAGAATTGCAGAAGAAAGTTTGCTTTATCGTTTGTTTCGTAGATTAATAACTAGAATACTACTTACTATTTGTGAGTACTCTACAAGCATATTGCTGAATTTTATGTGCCTTCCACTTGTGCCAAGGCTCTCTCTGTATTCTTTACATCTCCTACTCCATACGATGACTATTATTCATTGTAGTGATTGGAACTAAAACAACTTTCAACTACCAGTTAAATAGGGGCGCATGTGGCGCAGTGGTCTGAGGCGCCCTGAAATACACACGTGGAATCGATCCCCACGCGTATGGGCCACCAAGACTTCCAACCATCCGGGGTCGGAAAATTGGTACCAAATTTGTCTGTGAGGATAGCAGCACTTCCCTCAGGGATTGATCAACCCAAAGAGCTTTATTCTTTTACTTTGTTTACCAGTTAAATTACCGGCCAATGAATTGACTCGTTCAAGGAAGAATTCTTTGCACATTTCCAAATGCAGAATGCAGTTTTTCCCTAGTCGAGGCTCGCCACAACATGGATAAGCTATCCATTGATGATGGTGTAGGGCAATGGTCGGAGACGCTCTGCAATATACATGGGATCGATTCTCGCACCCCAAGCCCACCAATCCCTCCATCTCTCATAGATCGGTAAATTGATACCCCACTTGTCTGGAAGGTTAGCAGCCCTGGCGTGACGCATCGGTAGCCCACCCAGAGTCATTGTAAAAGCCAGATATGCATTCAGTCACCTCTAACAATGCGTTATAAAGTCGAATGCATGGCGTGTCTCTCAAGGATTGATCAACGCCAAGAGCTTTATCCTTCATCCCCTCATCCTTCATAAGGATACTGTAGTGTGCCTCAAAACAAACCATTAGAAATAAAGTGGCTCACATAGACCTAATCCGTCTCACGGCCATGCGCATTGGTTTCAACACATACGCTGCTGTGCGTTTCGTACCTTACATCTTACTTCAATACTCATCTCATTTGCGTTCCAATGACAAGCGGTCCGATGAGCTTGCCATGCGAAGATGGCCGCGGTCGTAAAAGAATTGAACCCTTTGTATTGTAACAAGTACTTAATGCACAAGGTTAACCAAATCTGCTTCTCTTTTAATGTTTTCTGGTAGATACAGTACCTTTGGGACACGTAACACCTTCACGACCTTTGGTAGCCAATCGATGGCTTGTCGAACACAGATTTTGTATTGGGGATGTTCCATGGATAGGAATTCTCAACTATGCTTGCAAAAAGCGGTTTTGTACGGTGGAATGTACTCGATAGATATAAAAGCATGGGAGAAATATAGAAATACATTTAGACTATCGAAGAAAACTATGCGGCAAGCTGGTAACACCATGGTAAGATTATGGGTGATTTCTTTTCCACTGCATAGAAGAGGTGTCCAAGAAGATGGGAACATACACAGAAGGGCATAACGATATGTAGAAGTAAGACATGGAAAAAATCTGAGGACACCGAACAGTAGAACAATAATCTCCCGAAGCCAGTACGTCATGCCTCTTATGTGGGTTCATGGACCGTATATCTTCATTTCAATGTGCCTTCGGATTGCACTCCAATGACATGTGGTCGTGCAAGGCTTATACTGGTCACTCGGGGCGCCGCGTATGATTGTATAGAATGCAAACCGTCCATTATGTGTTTAAAAATTGGGCATCGCAAGCAATGATACCCAGTCTCTGATGGAATGAAAAGAAAATAAGTTAAATAAGTCGGAAAAAATCTCACTATTTGGGTTCATTGTTCGGATTTCTATTAGTGGAAGATAGATTTACAACATATTGTTTGGTTCCACATTGCTACAGAAGATTTTACCTGTTCTATGATTTTCGTCGGCAAAGCAATTGAAACGCTTTTTGTAAGCATTATAGGATATCTCGGTTCGGTAGCTGTGTGTATTTCTGACGAGCATGTTTCGTGGACTTCCTCGGTGGATGATGTAAACTGTTGAGTGTAACGAATATCTGATGGAGTTGATTGATTCGGAAGATCCACTTTATCTCCGTCTTTGTCCTGCGTTAAACGTGGATAGTTTTCCTACAACAAATCAGTTTATCATAGTTGAAATAGCGACAATATTTATTTTAATATACTAGCAAATAAAACGGTTCATTATGTACTACGTTCATAATTTGCCTATGTCCTTTTGTACCACTTCGTACTGCAAAGAAGATTCACTTTGTCAGGTATCTATTTTGATTTTATTACTCGCTAGTTGATTGGTTATATCCTTAAGGGAGCGATTGGCCGTGAACCGTGAGCCGAACGTGGGACCCGGGTGGACGGACCACGGATTGGGCTCCGTATCTTTTCGCGTACGGACTGATTTATACTTTCCTTGTGCAGCACATGTTATAATATATGCGTGTGTAGATGCACTTTCTCGTATATGGGTAGTATCTCGTATGCACGCATGTCTAGTATCTCGTATTTGGGGGCGGAGAGCACAGTGACAATGATGCCGGTCATCACAATTACGGGCCTGGTTCGATCCCGCTTCATGTTCACCAAGCCTCTCATTCTCCCCGGGTTTGGGAAGTCGGTACAGCATTTGCCCATGAAAAAACCTCTCTCTTCAAACCATTTGGGAACGGTCTAATCCGGCTATTTCAGCACTCCAGTGAGAATCGATTTAACCAGCATCCTGCGACATTCAAGATGAAATGGAAATCCTCAAACAGCAGCAGCCGAAGCCATACATGGAAAAAAGTCAGAAGACCCCTAGTGAGTGATGGATGCGTGGAAACGAATCGAATGTGAGAAGTGCTGTGATCCGCACAGTAGAAGTGAAGGCGGGTCGTATAAAATAAAAAAGAAATTTTTAGATCTTAACTAAGATGATGCTGAGATATTTACAAAACTCCGGACCGCAGGTGTCTGCGGTGTTGAACGAACGCGCTATTGTCCTTTCCGGGGAGTAACGCGTTCACCGCCACACCATGCGGGTCCTTCGTTTTGCCTGTCTCTTAGCTAGTTCTATCGTTCAGCTCTATCAGCAATCACCCGTCAATGGAATTGATCTAGGGAACCCAAATCGGTAACGAACCTACTTATGCTGAGGCTGAAGTTGAGATCACAATCTTAATCTTTTTTTTATTTACTGCCTACTATAATTCTTAATAACGTGGTGTAATGTGAATTGCAACTAAGATGATGTTGAGATATTTGCAAAACTCTGGAGTTTTGCAAATATTTCAGCATCATCTTAGATCGTAGTTTGGCCGATGTAA